GACGACAAGCACAGAAAAACTAGGAATGCCCAGCGACCATCCCCTCCCAAGGCTTGCGCACGAGCCATGTAGAGAGGTCCAGCCTGCAGGCCAGCTCGAAAAGGGCGAAACACCTGTACTCAAATGTGCTGCGGTGAGCGAAGCGCGCCATGTCACGCAAGAGTGAGTTCAGACCCTCGTCTATGAACGTGGTGTATACTTTCGGCGACCCGTGAAAGCATACCCTGCAGATAGTTAGTTATTCAGTGAGGGGGGAGGGGGTTCAAGGTTACGGGACTGATGCAGGACGTGGAAGGGCGTGTATAGGGGCGTTGATTCCCTATCATAAATAAGATGCAGGGCGAATAATTAGAATAGAGGGCGCACGTCTATTCACACCTTGTCCCCAGACCAACAGCCATGTTAACAACACATAACCATAGGCAGGACCGTAATGATACTCATACGACTAACACTAATACAAATGCTGGAACAAATGGCAACTACGAGTAGCATTGTTCACAAACTATTACTATTATCAGTATGAGTATTATTACTGCTACTACGGCTACCACTAACAATCATACACCACATAATGATAATCATATTAGCCGGCGTGGACACCAAACAGTAGGATATTGCACTATGAGGCGAGTTGCACGACTTTGATGCGTTGGCAAGAAGCAATCATTTTGAGGAAGGCGGGAGGTTGAGGCTGATATTAGCCGTCTTAGTCGAACTTCCAATTCTCAAGTCGTCATCGCCCCCCTCTTGTTATTCCTTCCCCTCCTCTGTTCATGATTCATTTCGCTCGCCTCGACCACCCCCACCCCCTCCTCCAACCTGCGCCCGTCCATCCTTCCACCATGCATCGTCATTGTCGCATCTATTCGATCACATTTTCATAATCGCAGTAGTTATAGACCCTTGAAAAACAAACGGTGTCCTGTCGAAGAGGTGGCAGCACAAGTGATGCTTCGGGGTCAGGTCGATGCCTGTGGCCGTGCAGCACCGGATGTGCATGTTCATATGCTCTAATAGTTTCAGGCGCACGCCAGCGCTCATCTTGACAGGGTTCTCTGAGATCAGCTTCATGATCTGTTGTAGAGCCACGCCTGCTTGTAGCAGAGGCGCCCCGTAGAGTTGGGCGCCACCTGTTTGGCGAAGCTCGTGCATGACAAAGTCAAGCAGCAAGCGCGTCTCCACCGCTTTGGTCTTGACGCCTCCACCTCCATGATGCGGGTTCTGGCGGGCAAACTAATTCGGAACCAGCGGTGGGGATGGTTTACTTTTTACATCCCGTCCATCTCCGCGCCTTCTGGCTTCCCCCCAGAAGGCGCAGATCTGACCAGGATTCAACGTAGTAGAAATGTTTGCCCCTGAGGTCCTGATGGCTGAAACCGCGCTGCTTGCCTAGCATCTTGAGGGCGAGGTTCCTGGGCCTGAGGTTGTGGGCTATGTTATTTCCTGGATCCCGCTGCCACTGCAGAACATATGTTTTTTTGTATTTGCCGACATGCCACCTCTATCTTGCCAGCCTGGGTACCCTGAAACTGCCAACTGTTATGTAACATAATGCGCCACAAACATGCCGATACCATCCTTTGAATAACTCCTAAGTAGAGGCTGTGCATGGAGTCGACTGCCAACGGCTGCGTCGGCGTCGTGCCCAGCGAAGGAGAAAAAAGTGGACGCCGACGCTGGGCAGCATCCATCAGAGTGCCGCCGCTGGTCTGCCGAGCGCGCCAGAAAATGATGGTTGCTGGCAGTTTGACGCGATGCAGCTGAGCAATATCATCCAAGTCGTCCGACGGCTCCAACCGATCCTGATCTCGCAATTGCACCCCATTGACAACTATATCTCTGATGACCCCACGTGTTCTGATGGCCTTTGCGTGTTTTGCGCCCGATGGTTTCAGCCACCTGAGCGCGCTCAGAACTGCATCGACGTGATCTCTCGATGCGAGAAGAACTTGCACCTCGCATGCTGCCACAATCCGTTCGTAGTCGCCGTCGTCTCTGAGCGGCCATGGACAGTCTGGGCCAAGTTGATGGGCACACGAATGCAGTTCTGATTTCCCAAGCTCACAGCACTGGCACGGATTGTGCCCCTGCGCCCACGATGCCAATCCTAGGGTGCGCGCGTGCTCACACCAATCGCCCTTGATGTATAACACACACGCAGTAAATCCCAGCTCTGGTTCGGGCGGCGCCTGTCCGTCTGGCCACGCCATGTCATTGTGCATGCGAACGGGCCGTTTGCCCGCAGCCATCGCGCCGAGCTGCCACGCTATTCCTTTCAGCAATGGGTAAATCGAGCACCAGCCGCGACAGCCGCATTGGCACTCGTCGCTCTTCCGTAGAACAGCGATCAAGTGCCTCTTTCGTGTGATCATGTTCTCGATCCACCACCCCGTGACGCTGTCGCTCCTACCAGCAGCTTGCTGCTGGTATGATACTCCATCAACGTATAGCGCCAAGGGCAACGGAGGCAATCGCCCTAGCTCCGACGCCTCCTTGACACACTTGTGATTCTGATAGACTGGCAAACTCATCACAGATTCTGGCCGCACCTGGGGATCCATCGTCAGGATGCGCATCGTGTCGGGCGAGTGCTTCATTTCCTCAAGCAACAGTTCATATCCCAACGCAATGGGAACGGATTTCGCAATTCGATGACTAGACCTGTTGGGGTTCAGGGGCACAGTCACGTAGTACAAGTGATCGGGTTGAGGCAACATCTGGTCAAGGTGACGTTGGTACTTTCCCGTTTGCAAGCCTTCAGGTTTGCCATATCTCTTCCAATCAGCTCCAGGCACGTGCGCCTCATGGGCAAGCTGGCAGATTCGACAAAGCTGGATCGCCGTGATACGTGCAGCGCCGTACATGCTCATCACAAGCCGCATCAGTTCAGCGCCAGCTGTCCTGGTTTCTGAAGTATTGCCATGTGCGTGCCACGTGCAACGGGAACTGCGGCTTCTATCTGGTGGCATGGTTCTAACGTTAGGCTTGGTACAAAAACTTGCAGCAGTATATCATCGCATCTGAGTTCAAACAATGTACCAACACCATCTCGTATCATACATCCATTACCTCCCTGCTAGCACCACACCATCATCCATCGTCCTCCTCATCATCAGCATCAGCATCACCACCTTCATCGTCGTCATCATCATCATCATCATCAGCATCAGCATCATCATCAGCATCATCTGCATCGTCTTCTCGTTTGGCTTACGCCGTGGAACGCAGTGTTAGCCCAACGCGGGCAAGCTGGGCACGGGTCGGGACTCGGGCGATTGGGGTGGGGGCCTCGGGGAAGCAATAATCCCACCAGCCTTTTGGGCGTAGATGGTTTAGAGCGTTTCCTCTTCCACCCCTCCCTCTTCCCCTTTGGGGAGGGGTTTACCCCTCCCCCTTGCCCCCTCCCCTGGACCTGGACGGGGCGCGTCGCGGGCTGTTAAAGCGTCCAAACATATCGGCCTCGGCGAGGAAGCCAAACTCATTGGTTCGACTACGGTTTTGGCACCATTTTGGCCTTTTTGGGGGCTCCCGAGGGGCAGCGCGAAGTGCGACCCTCCAGTAACCATGTGACGCCTATCACATTCGTGACGCTTCGCGTATCCCCACTGGCCCATCCAGGAACGATGTCCAGGCGAGTTGGGGTGATCAGGGAAGCGCAGCAGCAACGAGGTGGACGGCCGACCCGTGCGAAGGAGGAAGGAGGAGAAGGAGGAGGCTAGATGGATGCATGAGGGAGTGAGGGGAAGGACGATGAATAGGATGACAAGGAGGATGCGGAGGAAGAGAAAGAGTAGGAGGAGGAAAGGGGGAGCAGGAGGAGGAGGGTACGCAAAAGGGCTAGAAGTATCTTGGATGCCTCTCGAAGCATCTTGTGATCTCTCTTGGCCGCTGCTTGGAGGCCTCTTGGAACGCCTTGGTGGTTTGTCGGCTGTCCTGGAGGGCTCTTGGGCGCCTTTGGTGCCTCGGGTAGACCTCTTGGGGCCGCTATGGGTCTTCTTAGGGGCCTTTTGGGGCCATTTTGGAGCCATTTTGGATCCCCTCGTGGCCCCCTGGGCACCTCTTGGGGCCATCTTGGAAGAGATCGGCCAAAGAAGGGGAAGGGTTACTTCTCGTTCACCCTGTCTTGAGTGCACATGGACGAAATGACATCGAACGTCTCGAAAATACACATATCAGCACGTGAGCTCCCAGCAGCATAGCCTCTCACGAATTCTAAGAGTTCGAGCGCTGCTCGTCACCGTGATACATCACGGGCAACTAGCCATGCACAAGTGCAGCAGCTCACATTCAAGCCTGCGAGAGCGAGAATTTGACGGCCCGTTCTCCTGCGGCTGGCGCGCGGCAGAGCAGCAACAGAAATTGACCGCGCAACTGCACTTTCCCACAAATATGTCTGGAAAAGCACCGTGCAGGACCCCACCAGAACTCCAACGGAACTCCAACGCTAATCCAACGCCAATCCAACGCTAATCCAACGCGCATGTTGATTATATGTGTGATGCGTAAATCATATATATATATATGGTTTGAGGGTGAATTCCAACGGTGTTCCAACGCTAATCCAACGGTCTAATCCAACGGCAAATCCAACGGTAATCCAACGCCTATGTTGCCATGTTTTTTTGCAGAATTGCCATTGTTTAGCATCGTTGTATGTTGTCCGTGCCGTTTTCGCAGTGTTGGTGCATTTTTTGTGGTATGTGTGTGGTGTTGTAGTGTTTTGTTCTGAATATTGTCGTCCCCCAGTCTAGCCCCGTGACTGTCTGCCTCGCCGACCTCCTCCTCACCGCCTTGCCTCCCTCCGCCTCCTCCCCCTCGCCCTTTCACACGTTCTCATTATATCCCCTCTCCACTTAAAGACCAGGTGGGTCTAGCACGGAAAAACTGCCTCCTAATGGCAGCTGTTCTCGCTGATCGGGAACAGAGCCTTCGAAATTGGCGCAGTGAAATCTGCGCAGCCGTGTGCAGCTCAGCAATCACCCAGTGCTGCGCTTGGCCTTCGACTTGGCCTTGGCCTTGGGGGCCGCGGCACCGTCCTTGCCGTGCTTCCGAACATTGTCGAAGCCGATGAGGATGCCCACCTGCTGCTCGACCGTCTCGTACGCCTGGTTCAGGTGGCTGAAGTCCTTCGCGAGCTTGGCGAACTCGACGTCGTTCAAGGCCTTCCTCAGCTGGGCCACGTCCTTCGTCAGAGCCATCGCCATGTTCGGGTTGCTGGACACGCGCTCGCTCAGGTCGTTGTACGTGTCCCTCAAGAGCTTGCTGAACGCGTCCTGCTTGGCCCATTCCCAGTCCTTGGAGTTGTCGATCTGGTGGATGAGCGTACTGGCCTGGGCAGTCACCGAAGCGTGACGAGATACCGCTGCCTTCACTTGCTTCACGAGCTCCATCGCCTCCTTCCTGGCTGGGGTGTTGCCCTTGCGCTTCTCGGCCGTCTCCTCCCCCTCGCCGGCTGCGCCCTGCGCTGCTCCAGCTGCCGCGGCGTTGCTCTCCTCGGCGACGCCCGCCCGAGCGCCCTTGGAAGAGACTGAGAAGCAGCAGAAAGGCGAACAAGAGGAGGAGGAGGAGGAGGAGGAGGAGGAGGAGGAGGAGGACAAGGAGGAGGAAGAGGAGAAGGAGGAGGAAGAGGAGGAGGAGGAGGAGAAGGTGGGCAGTTGGAACAGGAGTAGGAGGAACAGATACCGAGGAGAAGTACGATGAGGAGGAGGATGTGAAGTGGGGGAAACAGGCGGGGAGGGTCGAGCAGGAGGAAGTGTTCCCTCACGGTCCGCGCCACCTTGCGGCCCTTGCCGCTGCCAGCGCCCTTGCCTGTGGTGGCGCCGCCAGCGCCTGCCGCTGCCGCCGCGCCCTTGGTCTCGGTCTGGCTGGCGGCGTTCAGCTCCGGCCTCGGGCCCTCGTGCGAAGACCGGACCCACTTCTCGTGGGTGCGCCACGTCTCCGTGAAGAGCTCCGTCAGCCCCGTCTCGACGTAGAGAGCCCGAAGGCTCTCTGTCATATCATCCCATTTGATCCATGGAGCTCCGAGACCCATGCATTTCCAGAAATACTTAGATGCCTGCCAGGCGCAGACCCAAGTTTGCCTTGGCTCTCGGAATGTTCCTGGTGTAGCAGCTATGGTAATGGTGCGGGACATGGTCTAGGGTTTAACATTTCTGTTAGGATGAGTTGGTAAAAGGTGATCCCGAACCATTATGGTAGCTACTACACCAGGAGCATTTCCGAGTGTCCATTGCAAACTTGGCGCCTGCAACCACCCTGCTTTTCCTCCTCCCTCCTCAACTGCGATGCGCCCGATGGGCAAGTATCGACTGTTCTTCCACTGCTTGCGTACCTCCTCTGTCGTCCGTGAGTGCTCGATCATGTAGTCGTCGTACTTGGCCTTGCACCAGTCCCTCCTGAAGTCCTGCCTCTTCTTCCTCCCAACGGTCGCCTCGTAGCGCTGCCTGAGGTTCTCGTCGCCGTCCAGCGCTCTTTGCCACCTCCCCGCCACCGGATTCCCTCGACCACCATCAGTGTTGACCTTGAAATTCAAGGAGCTCATGTTCGTCCAGAACTCGAACTCCTTGGCCTCCTCCTCACTCTTGATGACCATCTTGGGGCCAAAGTCCTCGGGTTCGCCGACGCTCTCACCGTGCGAGATGTTGCCCATCTTGTGGAGCTGCTTCAAGTCGTCCGACATGAAGTGCTGCTTCATCATGTTGGTCCACGCCAGCTCGACGTCGTCCGAGATGCCGACGCCAGGCGCCGTGATCTGTGCCTGGGAAGCTGAACGCATGATCAGCATTCTAATCGTCCAACCCTCCCCCATCCGCCTCCGTCGCAGGGGTGAGACGGGTGGGGGAGGGATTGGATGATTAGAATGTGGATTCTGCGTTCTGCGCGTTGCCTCGAACTTGCTCTGCGCTGCAACGATGTTCTTGTAGGCCTGGCTCTTGGTGACCTTGGGCGGCGTGTACGGCGCATCCTCGGAGAGAGCGCGGAATTCATGTATCCTCGGTTTTTCCTCCTATCTTGTCGCCGCCTCTCTCTCTCTCTCTCTCTCTCTTCCTTCCTTATCCTCCTCATCCATTTGAGACTCGTCCCTGCTTATTAACATGTGTTGCTGTTCAACACTGCCCTATCCCTGAACGCAGCGGCTCACCGCGCCAACATTCGATGCGCATAGGATTCGCATTGGATTTGCATTGGATTTGCATTGGATTTGCGTTGGATTTGCGTTGGATTTGCGTTGGAATTGCGTTGGATTTGCGTTGGATGTGCGTTGGATTTGCGTTGGAATTGCATTGGATTGTCATTGGATTTGCATTGAATATGTCACAAATCTTAGTGTGGCACAACTGAAACGTAATTCTGCACACATTGGAACACCGTTGGATTTCGCTCTCGCTCTCTCTCTGTCCCTCTCCCTCTCTGTAGCTTTCTGGGTATGGGTTTCGCGGTGCCCCCCTCTCAGATTTCCTTGCCCTCGGTCCTCAGCTGCGGCGCTGTCACTGCCATGTTGTACTTCTCGGCGTCCTTGGGCTGCTGGAACCTCCTCGCCGTCGTGAGTCTTCTCGTCCTTGTCCTGCATTGTCTGGGGCAGCCCACGGCTGCGGCTGCGGCTGCGAGGCTGCACGGGAGGCTCGATGCCAGCGCGCTGCGGGGGATCGGCGCCAACGACCGGCATGCGCACCAACGCCTTCGCGCAGTCCTCCTTGTTCCACTTGACGTTCTTCTTGAAGAACTCGCTCAGCAGGAAAGAGAGCTCATCCTTGGAAAGTTTGTCGACATCTGGAGGCTCTGCTACAGCCGCTCCGTCTGGCGTCTGAGACCCTGCTGCTGCCGATGGTGCCGCGCCGCTCGCGCTAGACACGCCGCGAGGGCACGGCTCGCGTGCTGGGCTTGGGGAATAGCCTCTCTTGCGCTTGAAGAGGTCCTTGCTCTCTGCCAGCGCCTGCTCCTCCTCCTGACTCATCTTCTCCTCGTCCCTCGCTCTCTTCTCGCGCTCGACCTCGGCTGTCTTGGTGCTCTCCATCAAGGCCACCTCCAGATCGTCCATGGTCAGGTCGACATCTGCCGCGCGCTTCTCGGACTTGGGAGCTGCCGATGTTGGCTCCACAACCAGCGGCGCATCGTCTGACTCGACTGCTGCGTCAGCGCCGACAGCACTGCGACCCGCGAAGAACTCATCGTCCAACCTCTGCGCTTCCTCCACTTCGGCAGGGCTCGGGCAACGGTCCCCAGCCATCAGCTCGGTCATGTTCGGGCCCATCACCACTGAGCTCCCCCTGTCGCTGACCTGGCTGGCCATGCTGCAGGTAGCGCAGTGTCCCGCTGGCTGCTGTGACGGATACGGAACCTCAATCCTCACCTCAACAGCTTGGGCCACAATTGCTGCCAGTACGGTTGTTTCGTGGCGTGTTGTGTTTCTAACCTTCTTCACGCTACTCACCCGTTGACGGGTCTCACCCCACTGTTCTAATCTTAGCGTGTTGTTTATGTCGTATAGATGTCGTAGTGTTCGGGCGTTTTTGGCATGACCATTGAGGACGTCTCGAGCGTTTTGTTGTTGCTTGTTTGTATGGTGTGCGTTCTGTGTGCTTGCTTGACGTCATGCTGGTATTGTTTGTTTGTTTTGATTGTTGCATGGTTATGCCTACATGCACAGCCTATACTACATACAGTTACAACCTAGTGTAGTTAATGAACTGTTCGGATGTCTCGAACGGGAGCTCTCCCTCATGGCCCCCTGCTGCATATGCTCATTCCGATGTGGCGAATCAGGGGGAGGAGAATGGGAAGGAGGATAGGGAGGAGGAGGAGGAGGATGAGGATGGGAGGGATGACGAGTGAGCGTAGTCTCTTCACCACTGACCAGAAGCGTTCTTGCACTGGTCCAGAGTTCAATGCAAACGACGGCCACTGTGCGCAGCTTGATGTATCGCTGCACGCGCGTGGCACTGGCAATGCAATTTGCCTGGGAGCCCCAGGCCGAGGACCCGTCGGCCACCCGTCGCCCGAAGAAACGATAGGCATCGAGCGGGTGGCCGAGCGCTCGAGGTGCGGGGGAGCCACTCCTCCCCACTCGAGAGAAGAAACGCTGTCCTGATCGATCGTTTATCGCCGATCAGGCACTCAAAAAGAATCAAACAAGCCACCTGGAATGCTGCGAGCAGACGGCGCCAGCTTCGGCACCGACGCAACCTTCATCATTGAGGCAGCAGCCGTCGTTGGAGCAGCAGCCTTCGTCTGAACAGCAGCCTTCTTCTGAGCAGCAGCCGTCGTCACTGGAGCAGCAGCCGTCGTCGCTGGAGCAGCTGCCTTCATGACTGGAGCAGCGGCCTTCGTCACTGGAGCGGCAGCCTTCGCTGGAGCAGCAGCTTTCGTCGCTGGGGCCGCCTCCTCCTCCTCCTCCTCCTCCTCCTCCTCCTCCTCCTCCTCGCACGCCTCGGCCGACTTCTCGTCGTTGCTCTCGGCGTTGCTGTCGTCGTCGTCGACCTTCTTCCTCTTGGCCAGGCTGGCCTGCTCGACGTCCTGGGGCGCGGGAGAGAGCGGGATAACAATTGAAGGGGAGGTTGGCGGGATGAAGAGCGACTGAAGAACGCCTGAGGATTTGACAGGGCGAAGGGGACGATGAGGAGGGGGAGCTTTGTGGGAGGTTTGGGGGGAGAACAGCAGCCATTAATCACGGCTTGAGTCAGAGAGTAATACCACCAGTCTTCTGGGCGTAGGTGGTTTAGTTGGTTTCTTCTGCCACCCTTCCCTCCCCCCTTCCGTGGAGGGGTTTACCCCTTCCCCCGTGCCCCCCACCCCTGACCTGGACGGGGCGTCTCGCGGGTCGTTTGGGCGTTCAACGCGGCCTCGGCGAGGGAGCCAACATCATTGGTTTCATTACGGCGTTGACCCCATGCTGGTTTTCGGGGGGCCCTCGAGTGGCAGCGCGAATTGCGACCTTCCCTTTCGTTGATCAATCTCCCCCAAGATGGCCCCAAGAGGACGCCCAGGAGGCGCCACGGGCCCAGAGGTTGCCCCAAGATGGCTCCAATATGGCTCCAAGAGACACCCAGGAGGCACCAGGAGGACCCAAAGCGGCCCCGAGAGGCCTACCCGCGGCACCCAAGACGCCCAAGAGCCCTCAAGGACCGCCAAGAGGCCTCCGAGACGTCCGAAGAGACCTCCAAGAAGCGGCCAAGAGATATCACAAGAGGCTCCGCGAGGCACCCAAGAGACCTCTAGCCCTTTCGCTTGCCCTCCTCCTGTTCCACCATGCCTCCTCCTACTCCTTGTTTTCCTCCTACCCCTCATCATCCTATCTATCTATCCCACTCCCTCATATATCTATCCATCCAGCCTCCTCCTTTTCTTCCTCCCTCATGCGCACGGTTCGGCCGTCCACGTCGTTGCTCCTGCATTTCCCTGAGCGCCTCAACTCGCCTGGACATCTTTTCTGGATCGGCTGGCCAGGATACGCGAAGCGTCTATAATAATAGTTGAGAGGTTGATTCATGGATTG